GATGACAAGCTGGAAGCTGAGCGTCGCCGGCGGTGCGTATGACAGACGTTATCTGAAGCTTTAACGCCGCCAGCCGCACTGACCGGTGCCATCGTCTGGCCCAAATGCGACCGCGAATGTGACGACGTCTCATAGGTGACGACTACCGTCGAAACCTCACCGTGAATGGTCTCGAGCGGATCCCTTTCGGAAACGGTTCTAGGGCTTCTGACACAGGAAACGATGGATTCAACTACCATCGGCGATGACATCCTCTCGCCATCCTGAGAAACTGTAGGCGTAGGCGAGCAACAGCATGGGTTATTCGGTGTGTGAATGACGCCCAGAGGCGAAGAAGGCGAATGTCGTGCTCGCTTACATTCAAGATCATTTTTCCACTTTTCACACATTCGGTAAAAATCGTCTAAAGATGTAAATAAAACGTCGAACATAACAAAAGTTTCATAATGTAAATCAATAAAACAGAGTTGTTAAAGCTAAAGATGATATGGACAAGGCTATATTTCTTCAAAGCAGACCCAAGTGGACTGAGTACTTGGTTGGCACTTGATAGCCACGGTGAAAACAGCATAAAACACGGGATATTTATACACAAACAAAAATATGATCGATCGAGTGGTTGAGCGACATTCCAAGGCCCTCTGGCTCCAAATATATAAAGCATTGCTCTGACGCCAGTCCACATTTCTACCTTGAAAAATATCCATGAAACACAAACCAAAACATCGGTACTAATCGGTCATTCGACAGGTCAGATGATATGCCTTATGTATAATTTTGAATTTTACACTCTTTTCAGACCCCAGTAGCGTCATATGAAAATCTATCGGCTTAAATTATAATGCGTAATAATATTTGGTTGTTCGTAGTTCAGGTTCAAGATAGCGTGAAACGGTACACAATGACACTGTTTAAACTTTGTGCACCTTGTGGCAAACATGGTCACAAAGATGAATCAAACATAATTCGAAAAGTCGAGTAAATGCTGTATAACATTCGATGCAGAGAAAAGATTCAATGTTCTTGGCGATAAAGAACTTTGCACCTCCTACAAAGAATTCATAAGTAAAATATATAAAACTGGAGAAGCGACAAGAGATTCTTGTTCGTACCGGAGGTATGGAAAATTTACAATGCGCTAGTAAACGTAATATCGGGTTCATTACATTATGCATACCCACAGATCCAGATCGAGGTAGCCGTAGGAACAGGCTTTTGCCTAACCAAAAGTGACGCGATTTTGCACCCATGCAGCCAAGGTGCTAAAATACCATAGAGCTGAGGCCTGCATACACAGTCCCCTAGGTTACTAGAAGCAAGGGCCTACACCACTACGTCTTGAAAATTCAGAGAAGCGACAAGCTATTGTTGCTCTTACCAGCAATATAGAAATGTAGCACTTAGCTAGTAATCATATAATATCGATGAAAAATATTTCTAAAACTACCAAAGTATTCCCGCTATGCACATTCAACTTCTATGTTAATGCTGAGGAAAGAGGAAAATGAGAAAAGTTGTAAACCGCAAAATTGTAACTATGTCACTCAGTTTCAGGTGACGATGGAACGGATGCTCTCTGGGGGTACACCGAACATACTTTAGCAAAAAATGCATCAGTTCCCCATGAAAGTTTGAAAATAAGGCAGTTAATTTCACTAGAAGCGAATTTACCACATGGCGTCATAAATTAAAAAACAAACACTACGAACCAGGGTTGCTGGACAGCAGTTCTTTCTCGGCATTCAGCAGCTCCGCTTCATTACTGGATAGAAGCTGATCTATCAAAGCCTGTTCTTCGTTCGGCACTTCGACCTGAAAAAGTAAAAAGCTCATAAACTAGAACAGACAACTCTTGGTCGCCCTTTTATCTAACAAAAATTACAAACTCTAAATTAAGTGCCTTCAGTTTCAAATTTGCATAAGATCTCTATCGAGTCCTGGTAATTCTGTACTTCTTGAAACTTAATACGGCGATTTATAGACTAAAAACGATTTTGCTTAATGACAGCATCTTGTGAAAGCCTTAAAATAGATGTGGGGAGCAGTTCCTTTTTTCGCGTAAGTTCATCGATAGCTTAAACAGCCAATCAGCATATCTTCGTAAGATGAAGCGTCAGTGGAAAAAATTTCCAAATTCAGTGACAATGACATGCGCATGAACAGTCAGAAACTTACTGTGAAGCGGAAGTTGCAAAAATCCGATTATGCATTTCCCTTTGCATTTAAAAATGGCCAAGTAAAGTATAGCCCATTCTTTTTTCATTTCATTCAAAATACACCATCCCCGAAAAAAAGGTATACAAATTTCTCTTAATCATAATTGGACCCCACGTAACAAGCTACTGGCGTATCTGCAGACGTATACCAATTAAAACGAACCATTCAGTCGCAAAATGTTAATAGCAGGTGGTGCGTCTGAATAAATGACAATAAGTCAAATCTCTTCCACGTATGCACTGGTTTCCGCTGAGGATGCATTCTCTCTCCTCTCTTGCTTGTGTTGTATATGATTAGAATAACCAGGAGTAGCCAGGGCGATGAATGTATCAGCGTAGGAGATATTGAAGCGAGAAGGTTGCTGTTGCAGACGATATTGTTTTATTGGCTACTTCCAACGCTGATGTCCCTTTCTGGAAAGGTTCGCAGTCGAGTGCGACCTGATCGGTACGAGTCTGAACGCGTCTAAAACCAAAAGCTTACTACTGTTTTCTTTCCCTTGCTCGCTGCGCTCTGCAGATATTCACAGTATAATTTCTCGAATACGCGTCGATGCTGTGTCTCTGATGGCAGGAAGCAAAAGCCTTCAGATTCAATGCTTAACAGAACAAAAGAAAACATTCTTTACTTAGATGCCAGCGGAAATTTGATCCACGTCACTGAAAGAATATCACGTTGTGCTGGTAGTCCATTCCACAGCAAAAGCGACACAGTAATTACTAGCGACGTATTCTGAGAGCAGTGGTAAAATACTAAGTGCATTTCTAAAATGAAGGTTTATGGTTTGAATCACAGGGAAAGTAACAACCGTTTAATTTTTGCAACCAGTTTGATGGCAAAATTTTTTTTCATCTGATGGTTTCCCTTAGTTCAGCGTAGTTATAAACTGATGCATAAAACACATGTAAAAAAGAAAATAACTTGTTTACCAAGTTTTGAATTTGACACTTATTATTTTCCGTACAATTATTGCAAATGCTTAGTCAAAGTAATCTTAACACTATCAACAGCTATAAACTCTGACATGAGTGCGGTCGACCAATCAGACCATCACTCCGCATAAAATTAAACAATCGAAAGAAACGACCCGTTGTTACGTACCGCTGCCCGCTTGAGAAGGATACTTTGAAGCCTTCGGTAAAGGATCTTCTGTCCATCTATCAGGTCTGCTGCCTTCTTCTGGAATAGAGTGTCAACTATAAAATAATAAAATTTCAAGCAAAAATTTCAACAATTATCCTAACTGAATTCTCTGAAGCATCAGAAGGCAGGAATGAGTAACTGACTGGATGAATAACAAAAAAACGAAACAGCCAATAGGCTATGGTACTGTGGTACACTTCTGTTCATTACTACAATATGTTGCACTGAGAGAAAAGTAGCACATGCAACTTTTAATCGGAACTCGGTATCGAAACCAATGCTCACAGTATGTGTGTTACACTATGTACAGTACTACGAAAACTGCAATATATGTACTACAGAGTAATTTTACAATGATGTACCCTACAGTGAGCAGCATCCGCGAGATGTTTTTTACAACAGTCAGCTGGACGGTCCATGTTTGAACTATCTGCGGAGTACTGTACATATTTTATTGTAGAAATCCCTTGATGACGGTTGTCTAATCGCCAAGTAGCAGCCTACTTTCATAATGCTATCGTCTTCAGTTGCTATATTAGCCGATTATAGGACGGTGACTTTTTTGTTTGAAAACTGCAATCGAAAAATCTATATTTTGGTATTCAGAATCGAAGATATGTTGCTTTTGCATGATTTTAATGTGCTACAAAAACGTAGCTGTTGCCGCCCTTGTAGTCATTGTGTTTAACGACATCCTACGTGTAATAAAAACAGCTCATCTGTTCTTGAGTTTGTCTGCTACTGTCCTTGATTTCTACGTATCTACATTAGAACCTAAGTCTAACA